TGGTATGAATAGAAAAAAATTATTGGTTTTGTTGGACAGGTTAGATTGAAAATCGGCCAGGTCAAATTTATGTTACATAAAAGTTAGTGTCTAGCCCTGCCCTGAGAAAAGTATTGGTTTTATTTGATGTCTGTGGCTGCAAATGTTAGAATCCTTGATTTAATATCATACATTTATCATTACTCAGATGCCAAATAAAAAGAGAAAGAAGATTGGTTATATTGCCAAGAAGGCAGGAGCAAAGAAATATGGTATTTCAAATTTTTTATTTTTAATTCAACCTAGTATGCAGTGCTTAGTTACCAGTGTCTTTTATTTTTGAATGCTACTAAAGAAACTTAATGTGGTAAATAGTAATATTCCTTGCATATTAACTGTGTGATTCAGTTGTTATATCTGTACATTTCTTATCAGTGAAGGCCAGGAGATGTGATTCAGAGGATGACATTCCCTTAAGCAAGTTGATAAGTGTGCCCTCTATAAACCCAGAAGTTCATCAACAAAATGGTGAGTATCCAGTTTGTCACATAAGTTTACATTCACATTATTCACTCATTGCAATATTTGTTATTTCACTTGGTTATTGTCAGTTATATAAATAATTTTTGTTTATAAGTAAGAGTACAATCAGACAGATGATCTGCAGATGTGCAGTTAAATGCATTTAATCTCAGCTACAAGGCTTATTTGCTAGGCCTCTGCAGCAACGGTATGTGTGGAGGCAGGGAGACCATTCGGTAAATAACATCATTACTTTTTGAGTGGGGTCTGCCATATTTAGTCTTCAGATCAGCTAGTTGACAGACCATCTGTTCTGATTGCGTTCCAAGTGATAACTATATATCGCTAAAACTTCAGTAAGTTCAATTCCTTGGAACCATGAAAAATCTGATGAAAAATCAGCAATATTGTAAACAAACTAATTCTGTCAATCATCATGGAAGGCTGTTATTTTACATATTAGGTAGTAGAAGGAAACAAGTGGTATCTAGCAGTGATAGTGAAGATGAAATACCACTAAGTAGTTTACGAAGCATGTCACAGTCTGTGTCTGAGGACAGTCATATTCAAGGTGGTGAGTAGTTAATACACATTATCATGTTTAAATTTTCTTATTATAGTTTATTGTTACCTTGAAGTGATATTTTAAAGTTATCTCCATGTGTTTGAAAATTCAACACAGCCATTTTTGTATTCTGAAAAGTTTTAATTTTTATTAAAAATTTTTCTAATTCAGATCAGAAAGATGATAAATCCCATTAAATAAAAGCCTAGTCTGGAACTATTAAGACTCACAATGTCACGGCACAGGGACAAAACACTGTCATTTTTTGTGTTATGAATTTAAATATGTGCCAAACCCAGTTAAGGCCATCTAAAGCATGCGTCAACTATATAAAACTTATTTAAAAATAAAAAAATTGAAGAAAAAGTCTAATACAAGGGAAAGGTTGAGCAATGATATGTGAGTAGGGAAAATAGCATTTTCCCCCAAGAGAAATTCATTTTGGTGGGTAAATCCCATGCATTTACACAGTTGCAAAAAGATAAATTATTAATGTCAACTCGGATTCTTAAAAGTGTTTTTTTTTTTTCATATCTGTTATTTGTGATAAATATTATTATATCTGGAATATTTTCTGACTCAGATCTTTTCTCTTTTTGGTCCTTCAAATAAGTGTGGCAATCAAAACATATCAAGCCAAACAATGGGCAATATTTACCCAAAAGGCAAACCAGTTTCAAGGAAGGCAGCAAGTATTTCCCCCAGCATCCTTGGAGCCTAGACCTGGACAGAGAACTTAGAGAAGAAAAAAAGAGAATGGGAAGAAACAACCACCATGATGATGTTCTTCAACTTGTTTTACCTCCTAATTTTATTAATATTGGACAACAAACAGGGAGATGGAAAATTTTAAAAGACGAACTACAATATGGCACCAGTGAAAGGCTGGCAAAGCTGCTGATAGACATGTGAGTAGTCGGCCATCTTTAATATACATCTACAAATTACATGTAAATAAAAAAGAAACTTGTTTTTAAAGAGACAACATCTTTTCTACCCATACTGCATTATTTCAACAGTTCCCCAAAGAGCCTTGATCACATGACCTCCACTATATGTCACTCAAGGTTGGAGGATGTTGCAGGTCTTGGTGGCAGTTCTGGCATGTGGACTTAGTTTGTGTGTGGATGATGTATAATTTATAATTTCTATGAGTTTTTTTTTTTTTTTCTTTTTCATTTTTGTTACCCTTAACTTGTCGCTTAACAGTATTTCTTCCTTATCTTTTTAGATATTACGAATACAATGATCTTCTTTCTAAACCATGTATGAAAAAAATACTTGGAAATGATGATGGCTATGAAGACTTCAGTCCATTTCTGTAAGGGCATTTTTCTTATTCATTTTGTATTGGAAGTCCAGAACTGCATAGCACAACATACTCATACTCCACAACATTATTTATTAAATTGTTTCAGATTTGTCATTACAGCAACCCAACAATACACAGCATAGTAATGCTATTAAGTGACTTTATTCATTTCTATTATTTTTTCAGCAGTTATCTTTATTCATTTATTTATTTTTGTAAGGTTGGACACAGAAAAGCAGCATGAGTCAGTTCAACACGTTTCCATTGGTCCAGACATTGCCAACACCAGAGGGCAGCATGAGTCGGATGATTATCCCGTTAGTTTTCACATTTCTGACATCAGAACACAGCCTGAGCCAAACCAGACTGATGGAGTTATCCAGGACACCAGATGGCAGCCTAAGCCAGACCAGTCTGATGGAGTTCTCCAGGACACCAGATGGCAGCCTAAGACAGACCAGACTTATGGAGTTCTCCAGGACACCAGATGGCAGCCTAAGCCAGACAAGACTGATGGAGTTATCCAGGACACCAGATGGCAGCCTAAGCCAGACAAGACTGATGGAGTTATCCAGGACACAAGATGGCAGTACAGGCCTAATGTAATTTCAAATGACCACAAAAATAGTTCTGTTACCAGTAAGCAGCACATATCAGTTGAGGGAAATTTTCATAGCCTAGACAATCAGGACACCAAAGGCCTGTACACCATTTTTGATGGTAATGAGAATTTTTCTAACATTTCCATAAAACACATTAAACAAGAGGTGAAGGATGAAATGCACCAGGGTAATGACAAAACAAGCCAAGATTTAAAAGTATCTATGAACTCTGTTTTCACTCCAGATAACCCAGGATCAACAATCACAGAAAAATTAAATTCTCAGAATGTCACCAATTTAGAAAAGGATCCTGTTAGTGCTCAAATTAGTCCAAGAAAGCCACTGTTGGATAATCATAAAACTCATGCCAACAACACAATTATATGTGCAGGTGATGCTCCAAGAACTCTCTATATCTGTTCCTATTGCCCTATGCAGTTTTGGTCTCCAGATCGTTATAAAAGACATGAAGAAATTCACTTGAGTTACAGATATCACTGCATGTACTGTGACAGAACATTCCCACACAAAGCCAGTTGGAAAACTCATGAATCGGAACATAAAGGGAAAAACACATTGAAGTGCCAGCACTATGGGGAGAGATATTCTAGATACAATATCTACAGTGAACATGAAAGGACACACACTGGAGAAGATCCATACATGTACCAGTGCCGGCACTGCGGCAAGAAATTTATCAGCTCCTTGGGAAAGAATGCACACCAACGGCAGCATGGACTTGGATCTGAAAAGCCTCAGAAATGTCAGTTTTGCTTCAGAAGATTTGCCGAGAAGAAAGAACTTATTCGCCACAAGAGGATTCACATTGGGCACAAATCTTATAAATGCCAGTATTGTGAAAAGATTTTTATGGAAAAAGCTATCTGTATTGGTCACGAGAGACTTCACAGGGGGGAGAGACCATACTCCTGCAGGTTTTGTGAGAAAACATTTATCTACAGAGAAACCTGCAAACAGCATCAATTAGCTCATTCTGGAGTGGACAATGAAAATGTCCATTTTTAAGCAAGAGTATTAAAGTTATAGTGATTGAGAATAGCCCTTAATGGATCTTGTTTGCTAATTGAAGATCACTTTTCACTTTTGTGGGAAATCCCTTATATAGATTAATGTTAGATATTTCGTTTTATATAAATAATACACTGCAATGAGAACCTTATATTATCAGTATTGCCATACATCGATTATGCAGCAGTATTACTTGTATATTATAGATTTTAAAGTGGATAGAATGGTATTTGACTTAACATCAAAACCCAGGCCATGGGTGATGTCTGAAGTTTGTTATTATTATTATTATTATCTCGTCAATTAATTAGGAAGTAAGTTGTGTCAAATTGTCCAAGTACATTTTGAAAAATACTCATTTGGGATCTTAATAGTGTTGACTTGTGCCTTTCTACCAGTCCAAAAGACCACGTCAAGGTAGAAACCACGGGAGATAGGCCTCTAAATAAGCTGCAACTTTTGTAGGCCTAAAAAGTTAAACGAACGACTGTTCACCCCTCCCACAAGCATTTTATCAGCCTATGGCCTTGCAAGCAAAAACGCCACACTGTTTGAAAACTTAAATATTAGAAAGAAAACCCATACTGTAATATTCGTTTTTATTGACGCCCTCATTTGCGTGTGAGACATTTTTAGATATATTTAGTAAATGTATACATAATTATACATGAATTAAACAGTGACTTTGAAAATGTATTTTGTTAGTTACATGTAATATTTAAACCAAACTCTTGAAACGCAACACTGATATTAATAGAGCGCCTGTCTTACGAACGTCTATTTTCAGAATATCTGTTGGTGCTGTGCTATCCTCTTAGTAGAAAAAAAAACAGAAAAATATAACACTGCAGCGCCGAACGTACCCTGACAAGAAGCCTGAACGCCGAGCTTTAACATTTCACCGTGAAGGATAGTTCATAGGGGGCTGCTGTCAATATACACGATACCTAGGGTACTTGTCTGTTTATCTGAGACGTTTGATAACAAAATACTAGTGTGTAAATCTGGCAATGAAAGACATTTGCTGTGCATAAAACCCAATCACCACTGGTTCTTTCAAGGCGTATGAGCGCGACGCGGACATTGACGTTTCGACCCCAATGCTACATGTATTATGAAATAATTGTGTATAATGAGAAAAATTAAAGCGTGCTCTATTCGTCACTTTAAGATAACTATCAGATTGAAAAAGCAACATCGCCATTGGTTCTTTGAAGGCGTATGAGCGCGATGCGGACATTGACGTTTCGACCGCAATTCTACATGTATTATGAAATAATTGTGTATAACGAAAAAAATTAAACCGTGCTCTATTCGTCACTTTAGGAGAACTATCAGATTGAAAAAGGAACATCCAATTACCTAGATGCACGCCCGCCTGTCACCGTCGATGGATCTGACAAAAACGAAACGATATTTACAAAAGCAGAGTAGTCTAACGTTATGAAAATGAAAAAAAAAGTAAAAGATGGTTTAGTGTAACTAAACGACTTGTGGCATATTACTGAGCGCGCCCGCACGCTCGCGCGCGCTCACACAGAGAGAGAGAGGAGTATAGATGTATATGCGCGAAGTCCATGCATCGAAGTTCATTCATCACTATCCAGTAATAAGGTTGAAATATTGTTCATTCACAAAAAATTATCTGGTCATTTCAGGTCCCTAAAATTAAAGATATAAAACAATATTTCAATGGTGGGCAGAGACGCCTATTTCTGTTTTTCTTTCAAATGGCGCTTTGGTGAGGTCTGGTTGGTCAAACATGGCAAAAACTGCTCAGATAAAATCATTCAGTGGACCAGTGACCGGTGACCTACATAATGTACTTTTATTTTGGGGTGGGTACAGGGCTGGGATATATTTTTTCTGGTATATATATATTGAAACATTTTGAACACTTGTTCGTCTTATGTATTTCTGATATTGTAAAATATAATCGTAAGTTTCATTCGTCAGATAATGGTGAGTGTTGAATAAAAGATTAACGTCCCCCACTTCATCCTGCCCGCCCCCGCCCCCCATGAATGGTATTGAATCTCTCGTCAAGAAAGAGATGTCACTTCTTCAACTTTTAGTGAGCAGGGGCTTGATGCAAGGCCGTCTGGATATTAAGTATACCGATATTTTAGTTTCAACCGATTCAAGATCAAGTTATAAGATATATTAGGCATTTTGTGAAAGCTTATTTGTGAGTAGTTTTTAGTGCAGTTTGACACTTGCATGCTTTAAACTGGTATTGGTCATTCCACAATATTTCCTTCCTCCATAACTTCTTCTAAATATATAATGTTCTGTATTTTGAATTTGGTTCGTCGAAATATCAGCAGTAGCAGTAGTAGTAGTAGTAGTAGTAATGGCAGAAAAATGTTACACGAGAAATAGGACAAAGAAGGGGGAAATTCTGTGAAATGGCCCATGAAAATCCTTCACATGTAGGCATTGGCATATTGATATTTAGTGAGTGCTTCGTAGTCGAACGTAATATAGGTAATGTAACTTACTTCCATTTCCTCCAAGTTGAAGACTAAAATGTATTTCTTCTTGACAATGCATCGGCGACGAATAAATAGATAGAATGCTTTTTGAGACGGATTATGATCATATTTTCGATACTTTTCATTGATACCGACTGTAAATATTAGAACTGTTCATTTAAAATACATAAGTCCAATGGTAATTTTCATCCTATTAAAAATTAAATATTGGAAACAGGGACATATTTAAGACTGCGTTGTTATCAGTTACAAGACGTGCTATATGTTGATTGAGGGAGATATGCGGTCCTTGTGCCTTTTAACATATTCTACATCTAATAATACTTATAAGCTCGCCATCTTAGTATTTGAAGTATTCTTCTGTTCTTGGTATTCTTTAAAATAGCAGAAAGTGGTGATTTGTGAAAGTATTCTTTACGCCTGCTTAAAAGTGGCCATTCTAGTGATTTCTGCCTGACGGATTGCAAGAGCAAGGCGTTCACAGGGTCAAACTGAAAGCACGATATGCTGTTTGAAACGGATATTCGATTGATGATCATTTTTAATATGACGCTGCTCATGAAAAAACAGTCCAGTGGTATTTTCACATGGTTTGTAATCAAATTGACATCACGAACTTTGAAATCTTTTACAAAAAAAGCATTTGAAATAGGTCATGTTTAGGAATGCTTGGTAACCAGCTACAAACACTTGCTTGCTTTATTTTAATAATCTACTGTGCCGTGAAACCTTCTATACTTACGATAATTTCAAGTTTGCAGCCGTGACATTTGTGAAATGGTACTATTTGTGGTATTTTTCAGCAAGACAGCAAGTAACTTGATGTTTAGCTCTGTAAATGCCAATTAAATTCGCAAAATATTCAAAACCTTTCTGTCGTTTAAGGCCCAAATCAAAATTATCACCAATATACATTAACCACCAATTTGATTTCTACCTAAAACTGTTTAGAAAGCTACGGTCTGTTCGTCCGGTTGCGAATTCTTAATTTCTGGCAAGTGTAAAATTCATTCAATTTTTATGAAGAGAATGACTGCCGTCTAGAAACTTGAATCTCAAACTACAAAGATCGTGATACTGTGAATTGTTTTACCTGCAGTATACCGTGTTGATAACGGCACACGTGTCAAGATTACCAGGGAAATGTTTGCTATATAAAGGTCCAATGCTGTTAATGCACCTTTAACGTATTTTCAATGCTCAGATAGAATCATCTGAATACTTACTGTCGCGTGGAGCACTAAATCTCTTCCTCAAATTCGCATATTTGCTGTCTTGTTAAAAAATGAATGTCATTTTACGAACCGCTTTCTGCTATTTAGTTGTATAAGTGTAGCGTATTAGTGTAGTACTCACATAATCTAGTTTCTCAGTAATGTTATCTGATATTGATATTTGATATGTAAGAATAATATGAATAATTTTCTGAAGTAGAATTTAGTTCGTAGAACGTTGAACTTAAAATATAACCGGTGTTTGTTTAATTAATTTGTTGAAAAAATGTACATGTAGGTTCTGTGTATAGGTAAAGAGGACGTTCATGTGACTGGAATTTGTTATATTTCCCCCTATTAGGCTGTTCTTTGACAATCTGCAGCTTTTGCTGTATAGGTATCTGCCAAATGTGTATTTTCTCGTATCTGACACCAATGTATGTTAGGAAAATTGCAAAGTAGTTATTACATATGTGCAATATTTTCTTTACAGAAAATGGATGTTGGGCATGTAAGAAATATCATGATCTTTCCCTCGGATTTTTCCCAGGGCTGACAATTTTACTTTGTTTAGGTTTTTTAATGATTATTTATTTTGTTAGAGAATTTTTGAAAAAGTGTATTTACCATTCTAGAATAACGTTCGTTAATAGCTAGTTATTTTTACAAACGATTTCTCACAACTATGCATTCCCCAATATAACATCGCGTTAATTTGAAAATTTAATTTACTGAATTAATTCCCATGATTCTTAACAATTACTGAGAGACAAAACACTGGTGGATCAAGGACATTTAATTTATGGAGTCAGATGTTGACATTTGGGAAATTTGGAGTCATTTCGGGCTTGGTTATGTAAATCCACAATGGGTGGTTCCTCCTTCCGGGGGAGGAACACTGGATCCACCACTGTTTTTAAAATGAAACTCTTGAAACATTTTGCTTTGTATCATCATGATCAATAATATCTGACATAAGACGAGTTGTTTAGTTGATAGTTTATTTGTCAAACCCAATAGATAAAACTTTGTTTTTGCACCTTTAAGTGAGTGCCAATAAAGATATCACAAATTTGTTTTACATACCCGAACCTTTAAACTTGTAGTGATGAAAAGATTTAATAAAATGTAGTTTTACAGGCAGATGTTCTTAAAAAACGAACGAATACAAACTTGTAATGGATATTTGTTTTGCACTAAATAAAAACTTCTCAAATATGCAAACTGTCTTAGTATTTTTATTTAATGTTGAAGGACTCAGTGGGGACCCGGGGTTGGGGTTCGATTCTTGGCTTCTGTACTAGAAAATTAACTAGAAGGACTTTTATAATTTACTGTTGGTTACTATAAGAGGAAAGTCTACCCGGGGAGGGTGGGTGGGAACACTTAGAGGAGTGGGTAGCGCGCTTGACTCAGACACAGAAGGTCCCGAGTTCGATTCCTGGCGTTTCTAGGTCCCAGCAAATTACCTTTTGCCAAAAAATTCCAAATTAGCAATTTGAGTTACTACAAGAAGATCATAAGAGTAAATAGAGACGAGTTGAGTCAATAGCTCAGCAGGTAGGACGGCTGACTAGTACAGCAGAAAGCGGGAGAACAAGGGTTCGAGGGAAACTGCGGAACACGATGCTAGAGAGTTCAGGTGTAGACAGCTTACATATT